CTCTGCAGCACTGGCGGCAGGCTGGCCAGGAGAGCAGGAAGGCCTGTATCTGGTGTTGCACAAGCAGACAGACCTTTCCTCTGATCCCAAGGAGGCCGTCACAGCCATCCAGACTGTGGCGTCTCTGAATGGCAAATTACCTCTTCCAGAAGTGATTACCCGGGAAGTGACCGTGGAAGGAACTGGAAGCATCCAATATCAATAAGCCAATGCCAGGAACATCGCACATTTTTGTTTATGTTTCGCAAATCAGTGATGAAAGTAGTATTCTGGTTGAGCGAGATCGGTAGGTACCACACTCTCAGGTTTATATGCCAACCATCCTGGCACTGGAAAATGACACCTCGGACACTGATTAATTCCTGGGTGCAAGTGTGGCTGTGCCTGTCAGGGGAGGCACCTGGCAGCCCTAATGCAGCTCAGGAGCGTAATGGATGTCCTCTGGGCAGCGGTCACGGTCATTATTTGCAGACCTTGGGTGTTCACTGTGACTCTGACTCTCACATTATTGGCAGCAAATTGACTTTTGTCTTTCCAGTTGATTTGCTCACAGGGTGAGGTGTAGCATATTAATGAGGAGGAGAGACCAAACTGAATGCCCTGAGATCCAAATCGGCCATGAAGACGTAGACCTGGGAGCATTCGAAGTTTTGCTGAGAAGCCGTGGTACAAAGGCGAGGTTTGTCCCGGCCAGCACTGCTCCTCCTGTGGAATCTGTAGGAATAGGGCGTGGGGCTTGCAAACATCCACTGAACCCCTACCCAGCACCCGGGCCGTTCTCTGTCGCTGGCTTTGCTGCCTGCCCAGGTGCTCTGTTCTTCATCAGGGTCTTCTGCACGCTTTCCTAACAGGTGTCGTACTCCGTCCTTGTACAAGAACCGGCTTTTCTAGATGCAGCTTGCTGAAGCACTTGCTATTTCTTTCATGTTCACTCACGAGGAGCCCTGGAAGGTGCCTAGCCTGGGCTCTCAGGACGCTCTCACAAAGCGCAGGCAGTCTGCAGGAGCCAGCCCCAGCCCCCGGAAGGCAGTGAGCTGGGAAAGGCCCCTTTCAAAACTGCTCCGGGACAATTAAGAGCAAATGATGGTCATTAGATGGATGTGTGTGCATGGCTGCCTTGTGCACACCAGCTCCTTACCAAGAACGGAAAGGACAAGAGCCAGGAAGACAGCCGGGCGCCCCTGGGCTTTCTCCAGCCTTCCTTACGGTGCCCCTCCTCACCCCTGCTAATTACGCTGGCCTGTTCTTTCTCAGCCCTTCAGAAGGTGGCAGGTTAGCGCTGGGGACACAGAAATGGGAAGTTTTCAGCTATGAGCAGTGGAATGCTGTGTCAGCTGTTTCTAATTCATGATGCTGGGAGGCGAGCCCAACAAGCGATGCCTCATCTCATACACGCGCCAGTGTAATTCTATGGGGTGGCTTATTTTTTTAAAAGTTTTATTCAAAAGATTTACAAAGAAGGAGAGACAGGGCGGGAGCAGGGGAGGGAGAGAGATCTTCCATCCACTGGTTCACTCCTGAGATGGCTGCAATGGCCAGGGCTGGGTCAGGCTGAAGTCAGGAGCCAGGAGCTTCACCTGGGTCTCCCACATGGATGGCAGGGACCCAAGCACTGGGACCATGTTCCACTGCGTTTCCCAGGCCTGGTAGAAAGTGGAGCAGCTGGGACTTGAACCAGCATCCATACAGGATGTCGGTGTCGAAGGTGGTGGCTTTACCCACTACACTGCAATGCTGGCCCCCATGGTGTGTCTCATTTTCCTCATTTTATAGGTAGGGAAATAGAGATAAGGGAATGTTAAATACTCGTGGAAACAGCATTGCTGTCTACCCCCTAACTTCTGTATTAGGGTTTTCAGAGAAATAGAACTGGTGTGAAACTCAGACACACACACACACACACACACACACACTCTGCCTTTGCAGAGCAGGGGTAGGGACAGGTACTTTTTGTAAGGAGTTAGCTCATGCAATCTGGAGACCAAGAAGTCCCAATGTCCCCACTGAGAAAGCTGCGACCCAAGGGAGCCGAGCTGTGCTTCCTCCTGAACACCGCAGGGCTGGTCTTGTGAATGCCGCTGAGAGCTGGCCGTCTCATGACCCAGAAGAGTTGAAGTTTGTCCCCAGGTGCTGAGGGTGGCCTGAAAGGCAGGGGAGCCCCTCGTCAGGACTTCAGCTCGCTGGTGAGGCCGACTCCACTCATCCTCGCGGACACACCCAGGGCAGTGTTGGACCAAATGCCTGGGCACCCCAAAGCCAGTCCAGAGAGGTGTAGCATTAGCAATCACATCCGAAAACCCAGATCCCTAGCTGCTTTCTAGCACTGTGAGAAGCTGAGAGAGAGGGTGGCTACACCTCCCCGTGTCGGGGCTGTCACAATTGGACAATGACCATGTGGCAGTGCGGGGTGAATGCTGGGTGCGATGGATGTGCGAGGGTTCATGGAAGGCGTGGCATAACAAGCGAGTGTATGCTAGGAGTTGCAGAGTTTTGCACATTAAATAATGCCAAGTGTACCAAATATAATTTGTCGTTCAGGGGCTGGTGCTGTGGCGTAGCAGGTAAAGCCGCCACCTGCAGTGCTGGCATCTCGTATGGGTGCCGATTCCAGTTCCGGCTGCTCCACTTCCAATCCAGCTCTCTGCTATGGCCTGGGAAAGCAATGGAGGATGACCCAAGTCCTTGGGCCTCTGTACCCATGTGGGAGACCCAGAAGAAGCTCCTGGCTCCTGGCTTCGGATTGGTGCAACTCTAGCCATTGTGGCCAATTGCGAGTGAACCAGTGGACGGAAGACCTTTCTCTCTCTCTCTGTCTCTCTCTCTGTCTCTCTCTGCCTCTCCTGCTCTCTTTGTGTAACTCTGTCTCTGTGAGACACGTGGGCACATTCTAAAGTCTCCGTGGGCCAAGCAGTGCCATTTTTCTTTCCTGGGACTCAGTAGCAGACGGAAGACAGCTTCTGAGCTGCCCAAGCGGCTACTCCAGTGGTCAAGATGAACCTCCCGTCCTCCGGGAAGGGCGCGTCTGCTGCGAAGGGGTGTGGGCTGCAGCTCTCCTGCTGCCGCCAGGGCCCTCGGGGGGCAGTTCTCACGGACACGTGTGCACGCACTCACACACGTGCAGGCACGCAGACTCTCAGCAGCAGAAGAGAAGGGAAGGCGCGGATCCAGGCGGAGAAGCAAGGTGCCCCGGGATCTCCTCTGCATTTCTCAGGCAATTTTCATGTCAGTGGGAAAACAGAACATGAGCATGAGAGCGTGTTTTTGCAACCCGAGGGAAGATTCTATCTTTACCCCGACGCCCAGTATATTCTATGAGAGCTGTCAGTCTAGGTAGACTTTTTAAGTGAGACTCTTCCCTCATCCTCTGCCTTTTTTTTTTTTTCAAGATGAAAAATGGCTTACTGTCACCTCCACAGTAGAATCCAGCCCCAATAGTGTGACTGTATATGAATCCACAGCGTTACTGTTTGCAAGGTAGCACTGCCACGCAAGCTGCAAGCCTCCTTCCCAGGGGAGATAAACACCAGTTCTGTGCCGCTCTGACAATTTCCTTCCTCACCAATGCAGGTGACGAGAGGGACCCATTTGGGTGAATTCGTCTGTGTAAAAAAGGGATAGGGTGTGGCTGGTGGTACAGCAGGTTAAAGCCCTGGCCTGCAGTGCCGGAATCCCATATGGATGCCAGTTTGAATCCTGGCTGCTCCACTTCTGATACAGCTCTCTGCTATGGCCTGGGAAAGCAATAGAAGATGGCCCAAGTCCTTGGGCCACTGCACCCACATGGGAGACCTGGAAGAAGCTCCTGGCTCCTGGCTTTGGATCATTTGGGGTCATTTGGGGAGTGAACCAGCGGATGGGAGACCTCTCTCTCTCTCTGGCTCTACCCCTCTCTATAACTCTGTCATTTAAATAAAGAAATTAAATCTTTAAAAAAAATGACATAGGCTGGATCCTCTCTTTCCATCATTTCCATAGCTTCTGTGTTTTTCCTTCTGCCTAAGGCCTGGTTGGTGCCCAGCCAGACCGGAGCAATGGTTTCATTCCCATTTGCACAGCGCTCCTCTCACACCCTTCTCAACCCACCGTGTGTGATTTTTGTCTTCTGTCTTATGATTTGACACGAGCCTGGATTATTTCTGGGTGCCTTTGTTGCCTGTGGAGCTCTGGGGGTGGGGCCTTGAGGATTTCCTTTTGAATGATGACTCTCAAGACCCCTTCAACATGTCAGGGGCATTTTGTCAATAAAAGGGAATTTTAAAGGAAAATCTCAATTTAGCACCCAACAGCTGGACTCACAGACGACTGTTCTGACGAACAGTCAGCTGTGACATCGTTGGTTCTTCGCGTTCGTTGTTATCCTGGTTTGTTGAGATGGCGCCCCTCCTTAGGCTAGGGCTCCAGCGACGTCTTGGCCGGCGTACTGCTTCCCGGTCACTGTCCGGCGAGAGCTCTCCTCCGGCCACACTGTCCCATTGTCCGGAGCTGCAGGACTCTGCAGTAAGACACTTCAGGGCCCCCGTAGCCTTGGGGTCTCCCCGCCAGTGCTGCGGCAGAAATCACCCACCGGGTGTGACTTGTTCCCTCTTTCCTTTGCGAGCCCTGGGCTGGTTCTGTGGACATCGTGACCCTGGCGGTGGTGGGGGGTGTGGCGGGACGCCGTTCCTCTCTCCTGATTGTGGAAAGGATCAACCTGGATGGCTGCAGGCCACGGAGCTGAATCTTTGTCCCCAAGAATGTCCCCCCGAGAAGCCACTCGATTGTGCCCGAGAACCTTGTCCCCACTCAGAATCACCGTCCCGGGACATCCGGATGCAGCCCTTCCTGTCTGCACTTGCTTGAGGCTGGGAAAACAGCGTCATTCTGCTCCAGATGGGAGGGCGCTGACTAAACTGTTACCAAGATACTTGTTGTTTCCAAAATCAAACCCGCCATGCAAATCTGAGGATTGTATTCATTGTGCGCACTCAAAAAGGCGACAACGCCCTCCGAGAAGACACACATTCATATATAAAGCAAATATATATTTACATGTAAATGCATGTAAAGCAACAGAGGCTCTTAATTCAATGCGGTGATATTTAAGGGAGAGGTATCTGCCTGCTTAGGGTCTGAGCTCCTAATGTTTCCATGTTTAGGAGGTGTTGCAGGGGAAGGAACAAAGGCTGAGCTGGATGGTGGTGGCCTTGCCAGTGAGGAAGGCAGCGTGGGAAAGAAAGAACCAGAATTGGGCCCCTGCCTGGGGTGGGACAGAAAGGGAGTGGGCCTGACCCCTGGCATGGCGGGCACTGTCACCGACAGCAGGCTGAGGGGTCTGGGGTCCAGCGTCCTCGCGTGCACCCTTCTTGCTCGTGTGGGAACCCCGCCACGTCAGACTGTGGCTTTGCTGGGTAGCTCTCCTCGTCTTAGCAGAGCTAACGCTGGTGCGTCTCCCAGGCTAATGTCTTCCAAAGCACTTGATGTGTTATCCATATGGCCTCCTCGTACCTCTGCGTGCAAAGCTTATTCAAAGATGCCTCCCAAGCACGTCTGGAACCAACAAAGCTGATGGAAGTGAGACCACGGTCTATCAGGGAGTCTCAGAGCCACAGAGGCTGGACGCTGCAAGCAGGTGTGTTTCCAAGGCTCCCCTAGGGGTGTGAGGAGACAGGACAGGCAGCCAGCACCGTGATGTGAACACCCACCCACCCCCGCCGGCCTTGGACTTGTGTCACTTTCTCCAAGCTACTGCAGTCCCTGCCAGTTCCGAGAGCTTCAGGAGGCAGCCAGTGCCCGCACCTTCACCACTTCCTACCTGGGAGATAAAAAAATAAAATAAAATAGACGCCCCTCCCCTGGGTCCTGGGAAAGCACTCGGTAGCCCACCTCTGGCTGTTGTCATGGAGACGTGCACCTGCTGCCCCGGCCGAGGCGCGGAGACGCGTTGGGCTCAGTAGGAGTAAGCAGAGTGGCCCTTGAGCAATTTAACATCCTCTTCCTCTTGTGTTTTTCCTGTTGGCGGCTTTTCCCGGGGACCTGCGTCTGTTTGTCGAGGGCAGATCTTTGCGTGTGCAGCTCATTGAGCAGGACCAGGAGGAGGAAGAGGCAGGGAGCGTAGCTGGAAAGGTCTCCTTGACAAATGTGGGTGAGTCTAGAACAAATTCTGATAGCGTGCTGACTTTTTCTTTGTGGACTTAACCTTTCAAAATCAGTTCTCACCTCTGCGGGCTTTTAAAAATAGCGCAATCCCATGATGACGATAAGGCTCATGTGAGAGCCATCCTTGGAAAAAGCAGGCTGCCGGTTCACAGCTTGGTGTTTCTCTCCTTGGATTTCCAGAGCCTTGGGTTCAGGGGATACAGCATCCTGCTGGAAACAGAAGAGTCTGGAGGGGTGAGTCCCCTGAAGCCCAGGTGTCTCTCCAGGGAGGAATGGAGCAGAGACGCGTGCAAGCTCAAGGTCTCGCCCAGGACCCCGAGGCTAACGGGGTAGGACAGGGCGTGCAGACTGTCTTCCAGTGGCACCGCCGCCCTGGGCCCTGTCTTCCCCCTCTGGGAGCGGAGTTATCCAGCCTGCTGGGCCGAGTGGAATCTTCTGAGTGACTCGGATCTGCACGCAGACAGGAGGGCTGTGTCACGTCAGGGAAAACAAAACAGCATCCCTCAGTCCTCCCCTTGTGCGCACACGGAGGCCAAGGATTGTTTGCCCAGCGTTCTGTCTCCTCCCTTCTGGGTTCCATTGAGATCATGGAAATGCAAAGTAAATAGCCATGGAGTAAAAGGCTTGGCAGAGTATTTATCTTAGAGTATTGTTCCAGGATGTGCTCAAAGATAAGTCAGTGGCTGCCCGGAGCAGACACCAAGAAGCCGCGCTCCAAACCCAGCGTGTCCTGGCCAGGGTGAGGGCACGCCGCGCTCCAACACGAGTCGCCTTGCCAAGCCACAAGCTGGTCTTCCGGCTGCCAGGGTGCCAGGGGCAGGCAGGGCTCCAGGGAGGGCGTCTGCGAGGGACTCGGGGCCAGGGTCACCTGCCGATGTGTCCCAGGCGGGACGCAGGCCAGGTAGAATCTGTCCAAGCAGGACCAGGGTTTACTGGGACAGCAGCAGGGACCCCGGGAAAGGCTGCTCCTGGGAGGAGCCGGAGGGCAGGGTGAGGACCCCAGTGTCAGACCCCCCGTAAGGGAAGCTTGCCTTGCCTTTCAGTTCCTCATGGGCTCCAGGAGAAGGAGGAGAGCTGTTCTGGGTTTTGCCATCCCAGCATCTCTCTGGAAAGACAGGGGTTCAGTGAGGCAGGTTCCAGTGTCACCCTGATCTCTGGATTTGCTAAGCCAACCAACCAGCAAATGACAGAAGCACGCATGGCCTCATTTGGAAGCAAGCCAAAGAACAAAGCAGGAAGCGTACAAATGTCTCTGCATATTTAATGATTATTGACTTTTTAAATTGGCTTTAAAATAAAAAGCCTTCTGGATGCAATGCAGATTTGAAAGGCTTACTCGAGAGTGGGCCTGCGCACCCCGCTTAGTTCCCATTAAGTCCCCTCCTAGGCGTTCAGCTCTGCCGTCCCCCGTCCCCCCCACAAACATAGATCTGCAGCACAAGTTGTTTCGCCACAGAAAATGCTGGAGATGCCGTCTAACGCGGTAACGCACGGGTTTTTCAGCAGCCAACCGATCCATTCCCCAGTTGTACAGGAAGTGGATCTCTCAGTTGCACGAGAGAACCGCAGGCAGGCGAGCCCACGTGTTCTCCACGGAGGCTGCCTTATTGTTCTACGTAAAGAACACAAGGAATTGCATTTTATTGATATGGGAACGTGCTGATGGCTTTCCCTGACTTAACATCTTTGCCAAATGTGGTGAATGAGACTCTGCATTTCATTAAAGTCAGATTACTGGTCCTGTTTCATTATCACTGTTTTGATTCCCCAGGGGCAAAAAACCAACCACCACCACCTTCCACACGGCTTTCTGCGACTTAATTATGACGCCGGGCTGTGGCCATGAAGCTGACGGGAATGAGCAGGGTGTGCCGGGCGTGGGGGGCGGAGGGAGCCCGAGCCTTGGTTTCCTTTCCTGTATTGTCAGTAGATGGTCCCAGTGGCAGGAATCCTCCACGCTCACACTCGGCTTAACGTAATTTCCATTGATGATGTGCTGCGCCCTTCTGCCCAGGTCAGATGGACAACCAAGCCTCCTGCAATGTACCCATGTCACAGATGTCAGTGTCAGGATCCTCCCGGGAAGAGAAACCGTGCGAACCAAGGGGGCAAGAGGAGAATTCAAGATTCTCCAGTTTCTTACGGGGCCCTTCAATCCAAGCCCTTAAAAAAAAAAGAAAGGTACCATGTCCTGTTCAGTTTGTTTGGCTGGCCCCGTTGATCCTCTTGCCACACACCCAGGAAAACCTTTTGTTTGTCTTCCTCGGGACGTTCTGTTCCACTTGGACAGGCGCCTGTCTCCCTGGGCTGATCTGTCCCCAGCGGCTGTGAACTCTGACGTCACCAGCACACGCACAGGCCTGAGGCACACAGGACCGGGGGCAGCTTCCTTTGCACACCTCCCCTCTGTCTCTGTTACCTGGGAGACAGAAAACTCACCTTAAGCCAAAGGCGCCTCCTGGGAGCACAGACGTCACCTCCCGGGGTGCTGAGGACGGAGTGCGCCCTGAGCGCCAGCCCCGACTGCCCTAGGGAGAAGCCTGCTGCAGGTCCCGCCTCCACCAGGAGGGGTGGGTGCAGGGTGGGGAGCCCACCGCTGGCTGCGAGGCACAGAGGACAGAAGCCTGGGGAGCTGCAGTTGGGTTCAGGCTCGCACGGCTGAGCGCCGGGCAGCCCCAGGGCCTGGCGAGTCTGCAGTGACACCCCCCAGATGGTGGTGGCCAAGCCGTAGAGGGTTGGATCACTCTGGGGGTGTTTTAAATGGTGTGTTTGTTTAATTGTCATCTACTTGAAAGGCACACACACACACACACACATACACACAGAGTACTCCATTCACTGGTTTGCTACCCACACACTCACACACAGCTGGGCCAGGCTGAAGCCCGGAGCCCAGGAATCCAGCTCTCCCAGGTGGGTGCCAGGGGCCCAACCCCTTGGCCCACTGTCTGCTCTTCCCAAGATGCATCAGCAGGAAGCGCCCTGGCAGTGGAGCAGCTGGGACTGCAAGATCACTCTGATCTGAGACGCACACGTCGCACGTAGCGGTTTAACGTCGGGTGCCACAGCGCCTGCTCCTCAGTAGGAGAGGTTGAGGTTTATGTCTTTATTTTCACAGAGTGACGGAGAAAAGGGGAGACACACACACAGCTTCTTAGATGAGCTGGTTTTTCGACTTTAACAGAAAATGATTCTCTCCAGGTGCCTAAGAAGCACCGCTCCACCCTCGCGTCCCCAGTCAGCGGAAGCAGGTGCAGGTCTGACCCTGCTTTGTGGTCTCGTTGACTTGAACCGTACACCCGTATACTGGGTTTCTCCCAGTGTCGCCAAGCGCACCCTCGTGGGATCGCAGCAGGGCTGGGAGGGGAGCTGGCAGGGATCTGGGTCCATGTACTGCACAGCAGAGGGGGACTGGGGCTCAGAGGCCGGACCCTTGCCTGGGTTGTCTTACTTAGAGTGGCAGAGAGGGGCCCCTGCTTCTGCCTACTCCTTTTGTTTTGCTCTCTGTTCTGCCAAGTTGCCCAGAGCACACGGACCCCATTTCTCCCTTGCTGGTGAGGGACCCCCGGGACCATGGGTGGGCATGGGAGCCCTGCAGAGCAGGGCTGGGGCTCAACCTCCCTTGCCTGAGCTGGCACAGGACAAGCCCTCGCTCGGGGCAGACGCCCAGCCCAGCTCTTGCTTCTGAGTTTGCCTGCTGTTGCCTAATGCAGGCCAAAGCTCAAGCCCCCAGCCGGCGGGCAGTGTCCACGGCTTAGCTCTGAGGCCACCCCGTGGCTGCCCGCGATGTCAGCACAGGTGCAGGCCACACGAGGCAAAGGGCGCCAGCTGGCTTGGCGGGAAAGGTGTGTTAAACGTTTTAAACTCTTCTCCCCAGCGTGGACGTGCAGGGACAGCCTGCTGCCCCCTGCTGCCCCCACGGCGCTGCTCCCGGCCTTCACCGGTCTGCAGGTCTTTGCAGCCAGCGTCTGTCTCCAAGGCGGACTTGGTTGGCTGCTTAAGGACCTGAAGTGAAGACACAGCTGCTGTCTGGGTGCAGAGCAAGGAGCAGAGGGACATCCGGGGCCGTCTGGGTGGCCACCCCTTCCTGCGAACAGAACAGATGGCCCGCATCGAGGGCGGGGCAGCAGCAGGCACCCAGAGAGGTGGATCGGGGTGGACTGAAAGTGCGCCAGTGGGGAGCACCTTGGGAGGAGATGGACACCCGGGAAAGGGCCTGGATGAAGGGACTGAGGTGCTGACTCACCCCCACCTGCCGGGAGCGCCCGGCCCTGCTGTCCGAGCCTGCACCTCCCCCTTATCTGGGGCATCTGTGGAAAACACAGTCATAAGACGATCACCGCTCCCTCCTCTTATCTCCGACGCAGGTTCCAGGAGCCCACAGCTGTGTCATCTGAGCCGCCCAGCGGCCCGAGCAGGGACAGGGACCCTGCTGTGCGCACACGCCTCAGGAATCTGTTTTCCTGAACAAACAGGCGAGTGCAAGGAACAAAGTCTGAAAGTGAATCATAGCCCTTGTTTTGCGAGAGCAGACACTGTTTCTGAAAGCCTGCGCGCCGGCGCCTGGGGCACAGATGGGCCAGGAGGAGCGGCGTCGGCAGCGTCCACGGAGGAGGTGGACCAGCTGACCGGTCTGTTCTGTCTCCTCGTCTTCTCCGTAATTCAAAGGCAGAGATAACAAAAACCGACTCCACACGTTGGAAACACTGTGCACTGTTGCAGGCTTCCAGTAAACAGCTTTTGTGACCTCTTGCATAAGTAAATGGAACAACTGGAAAAAACGGTCCTTCGCAGAAAAGAAGCCCACAATGAATTTTGCATTTGGCTAAGCAAGAATTGATGTAAACAATCTGGTAGTGATGCGTGCGTGTGTGTGTGTGTGTGTGTGTGTGTGTTCCCTAAGGCATTAGGAATTAATGAAAATTATTGGGGAAAAGAAATCCTCTGAATTGTGTTGCTTTCTTTACTGAAGCCTGGCATTGCTCTTTATAATAGGAAACCAAATTATATTAAAGAATCCAAATACTTTATTTTGAGGCAACATAATAAAATGCTCGCTTTGCAGGACATTAACACAGCAGCTGGGATAACTCCGGACACGCGAGTGAGACTTACACGGCAGGTTAGACTACGCACATGCTTGTTAAGCTACTTAAAAACCACGTAGCTCATCTGCTACACTGCTCGCACCCCACACCTGAGAACCCGGGTTCCACTCCTGGGCCCTGGCTCCGGCTTCCTTAATGCACACACTGGGGGGCAGCAGTGGTGGCTCAAGTCGTGGGGTTTCTGCCAACCACGTGAGAGACTGGATTGAGTTCTCAGCTCCTGGCTTCCGTTTGGCCCAGCCTTGCTTGGCTTTGGGGGGAATTTGAGGAGTGAGCCAGAGCATGAGAACTCTCTCTCTCTCTCAATCTCTCTCTCTCAATCTCTCTCTCTCAATCTCTCTCTCTCTCTCAGTCAGACTGTCTCTTTGGTTCTAAATTTCAAAAAACGGCCTACTTAAAGTGTATCGTTGACGTTATGATCCAGGGATTAAGCCTAGAGAGTACAGATCTCTAATCACAGATGCACAACACTGGGGAGACTTTGCCATAACGACCGGCTGGCTTCCATCTTCCCGAGACCACCAGTGCAAGCTTTAGACAGATCGCTTAAACATTACTGTAAAAGCGAAACTTGGACCAGCTCCCAACTTTCGAAAAAAGTAGGTTAATAACATTTTATCACGACTGTGCGTGCTGTAGAATTGCAATCCCTCCTGTCTGCCCGTGGCCGGGGGCCTGGCTGGCACTTGGCTAGATCAATAACCTGTTGATAATCTATCAATAATCTATTAAAATAATGAATTGCGCCTTGGTCCATTGTAGTTTTTTTTTTTTTTTAACCAATTCACAAAGCATTTGGTCAGTTTTGTCTCCCATTTGCATGCTTGGTCATAACGAAAGGTGAGGATGTAAAACTGAATTTCTCGTCTGCACACACTCAGCTTTCAACTACACCCTTGCTTCTGTTTCACTCCGGCAGCGTGAGCACAGCCACAGAATTACCGGAGCTTCCTGTTAGAGAGCACCTGCGGCGGTCAGCGAGGTGGTGGACGAGGCCAGGCCGAGGTCCTGTGGGCATGCCCGAGGCTGGTCCCCTGGCCTGGATACCAGGCCCCTTGGAAGCCGCTCTGGGGGTGTGGTGGGGACAAGGTTCTGTTACCAGGAACCCAGGCTTTTTGTCCAAAAGGAATTGATGAATAGGCTCTCCCGTGCCACGGAGAGGCGGGAGGTAACCGGAGCCATGTGTGCACGCCACAAGCACGCAGTGTCCACAGGGAGACCGAGGACCTAGGGGACGCCAGGCCTGGGCGCCCGTCAGGATTGGGGTGCAGAGCAGCAGGGTGGCGGGGCCAGCAGGCTCCTCCGGGCAGCTGCGGGAAAGAGGAGCAAAAACAGAGACAGGGTCCCCGGGGGCAGTCGGTGGGCGGCAGACGGGTCAGAAGCCCTGGCCATTCCCTCCAGGAGCCGCTGTGTGCGGAGCACGAGCTCGCGCCTGCAGAGAGAGAGAGGGAACGGTGCGTGAGCCAGAGAGCTGTTTGCAGGGTGCCCAACTGGGGGTGGGGGGCGGCCCAGCAGCTGCACTGCACCCCTCAGGCCAGCAGCCGAGCAGCGGGCGGGGGCGGCACCTGGCTGCAGGCATCTCTGAACTCTGCCCGGGGCTATGACCGAGTCTGCCGGGCGCTGGGTCCTGTCCTAGAAGACAGAGCCTTTTCTGTGTGTTTATTCTGCCTGGCCCAGCCCCGGCCAACGTGGCCATCTGGGGAATGACACAGTGGGTGGAAGATCTCTCTCTGTCTCTGTCTCTCTCTCTCTCTCCCTCTCTTTCTCCTTCTCTCTCTCCCTCTCTCTCTCCCTCTCTCTCCCTCTCTCTCTCTTTCTCCCTTTCTCTCTCTTTCTCTCTCTCTCCCTCTCTCTCCCTCCCTCTCTCTCTCTTTCTCTCTCTCCTTCTTTCTCTCCTTCTCTCCCTCTCTCTCTCCCTCTCTCTCTTTCTCTCTCTCTCTCTCTCTCCTTCTCTCTCTCTCCCTCTCTCTCCCCCCCATGTACTGCTTTCAAATAAACAAATATATCTTCTTTCAAAAACAATGTATCTTTTCTGTTTCTAGAAGACAGTTAAGCATCATTTACACAAAAGCCCACGTAGAAGCACATGCAGCAGGCTGATTTACAGTATCCAGAACCTGGGAACAGCTGAGAAGTCCAAGGGCAGAGGTACTGAAGTTCATGGCGGTTCATCTGCACAGTGGGGGACCACTCTGTGACAGGAGCAATGATGTACATGACAGCACAGGTGAACCCGTGGATGACAAGTGAGGCCCCAAAGAACCCCCAGTGCAAGTGGGATCCATCCTACAAAACCCTGCTGGTGCCAGTGGGCCTCGCAGGCAAATGGATCCTCCTGGCCTCAGGGTGAGGGTGGAGCTGGCCGAAGGCACCGTGCGTGGGTTCATCCCCACAGCCAGGCACACTGTCAGAACTGTCACACTGCACCCTGAACTTGCTTATTTATATGAAAGAGAGAGAGAGAGAGAGAGAGAGAAGGAGAGAGAATCTCTCATATTCATTGTTCACTCCCTAAATGGCCATAGCAGCTAGGGCTGGGCCAGGCCAAAGCCAAGAGCCAGGAGCTACATTCAGGCCTCCCATGTGGGTGACAGG